GAATCAAGTCGTCGGTGATGGGGGCTCAGTGGCAAGCTCAGAAGTAGGGGCCGCCGTCTGGTACCTCGGCGAAGACATCGCCAGCAGAAGCACGCTGCCGTGTAGTGTGGATGCAGTGACCTGCAGAACGAGGTCGGGTGGTGCACAACAGCGAGGTGCTCAGCGGTGATTTTGACCCAGGTTGCTTCTCCTATTGCCTCCTCATTTATTCCCAATATTCATGCTCATCGCTATACAGCCTGCAGGAAACAATGAATTACTAATTTGCTCAACCTCCGCTCAATGCTACAGGTAAATTTTGTTGTCCGTTTTCCTTGCGCTAGCCTAACACATTTCACGCAAAGAAATGTCATTTGTTAGTGTTACCCCTTGATGTACTTGATACACTTCTGGATGTTACCAGGCCTGCAATTCCTCATTCCAAATACATACATCGACAGTTGGAGTGTTCTGGTTATTGCTTCAGTTTGAGGCACATATTGCGTATTGGCATTTGCTAATAGAGGTGTGTGATTTACATAAAGGCTTAAAAGTGCAGCTTCGATTCTATCAATGTGCTGTAGATTCTGATCATGCCATCTTTTGAGGCTCACATAATACATATCTTACCAAGCCTATTTTTTTTACTTAACAACCAGTTTACCTATTCCAGTTTTTGGTTGTCTGCACATGTATATAGTCCCAGTGAAATCATGTCTTTATTAACTAGGCAGCAGAATCATGTTTAACTATCATGCTCAGAAATTATGTGCTTTACGACATTTTTTATACTGAATACCTAACCACTCCTAAATAGTCGTCACCAATTTTGCCTTCCTTTTCTCCTATTTTAGCCATTTCTTCTTTTCTTTAAGTTTTAGTTTGAGTTCCCTTTCCACATATCTCTCTTATTATGTACTACCATATAAATATGTCAGCATTTTGGTTAATCTGGTACTGATGCTGTATGCATACATTTTTGTCACTGGATGCGGTCTTATAATCAGTTACATGTACCATCAAGTCCCTACCTTTTTGCCAACTACAACAGGTATCATTAACGTGGTAAATTCTAAGAGCCTTCGTATTTGTTTCTGCTTACAGATGATGATAATATTCTTTTACCACTTGAGGTCTACTTTACATATGACAAGATTATTCTGCAACCTTAAGATGTAAACAGTGATGCACCCTAACAAGGATGCATATTGGCAATTCTGAAATTTCAGTATGTGTCCATGCAGCAACACTGTTTTTAGCAGATGAGTTCCTCATGTCATACTCAATAGAATTGTGAGGTTGAAGCTGTGAATGTGAATATTTACAGCCATGGAGAGTGGTGATCAGGAGCCTCCTGTATCCTGGCATTATAGATGCATGCCTCACGTGGTTGCTGAACCTGCAACAATTATACTCCTATAATAATGGAGCAACACAGACAAGAGACATGCATTGTTTCTCCTGTTTTTCATACAGTTATGTTTAGCCTCTGTTTTCTGAACAATTAAGGATGCTGTTGTTTGCATGTTCACTCCCTCTCTGACCATGCTTGGACAAGATCTAAATTAATAACTACCTATTGTTTTTCAGGTGTGCCTTTGGGATGCAGACACAAAATCGTTTAATTTCTTCAAGATGAAAACTTAGCTGCTTTGGTGAGAGACACGAGAATTGATGATCTCATATCATTATTCATGCGGTTCTTTGATATTACAGCTCAACTTGAGTCTTGAGACTTGACTCACAAGGTTATATGATCATTATTCATGCGGTTCTTTGATATTACAGCTCAACTTGTGTTTCCCCTTTTATATACCATTTCAAGATTTTGGGACTACGGGAACAGTGAAAGAAATAGATATTTAGCAGCAAAGCTCCCTTTGCCCATATTTGCAATCCTCACCAAGATGAGATATTCATTTTATTTGTATACCTTATATAGTGATGTCGACTATTCCACACTATATTATGCTATGTTCAGCTTCACCACATTTTATAGATCTTTATGCATATTTTCATGGCTCAATATATTCTAACTATGAAGGATTAGTATCTTTAGTTACATGGGATCAAACCTGCCGTGCTCACTGTTAAGATACTAAGCTTCTGGCATGTAACAAACAACCGCGGGCTAATGATTTTACCGACAAACAACTGCTCATTTACAGTACCTAATACGGTGGGCGCAGCGTAAGCGTGCCTACCGTGCTAGTAAGTATTAACTCGGTCGGCCCTCAAGAATATGAAATCCTTGGTGCTTGTACCATCTGAAGTAATTTCCTTGTCCACATTACAAATTAGACCCCACCCTATTATCCATGAGGGCTTGCCTCCAATTAAGTAGACCATCCTTGACCGCTAGAACTACCAAGGAAACTAATTTAACTTATCCTCTACCCTTGACGGGTTATGCTTGACGGTTGGCCACCACTAAGCCTTCTTCTTGGCAATTTAGCTATTTTCCTTGGTGGTTTCAGGCCCAAGTAATGTTGGCAGGAGAGGCGGGTCCAAAAAGAGAAGAAGTAATACATGGCTTCTTCTTACTCCTTCGGCCCAAACTCCAAAATGGAATTTATTTATATAGTTGTCCTAAGTTAAATTATTTCAAATTTAAATAACTTTATAAAAAGTGCATAAAAATTATGACATCAAATTAATATCACCATATGCATTATGAAATATATTTTCATAATATATTTATTTGGTGTTATTGATGTTATTACCATTTTCTATAATGTTAGATAAACTTGAATAATTTTAGAATGAAGTTGATTTATTTTGAGATGGAGGGGTTTTTTAGGAAATTTCGAGATGGAGGTAGTATCATGATCTATCTATCTCTAACCATTTGTTTTAATTTGTAGGCTCGATCCGTTGGGTTAGCCCAACTGCTCGATGGGGCTTGTATAACGCTTAACGCTCCTAGCTCGCACGGCCTATTGGGCCTCATAGGCTACTGGGATACAGTTTTCAAATAAGCCAAGCATTTAACGGTCACGGTCCTAGTAAAAGCGGTGCATATAAACGCAAAAACTTCACTACTATTAAGACGAGAATCCGAAAAACTTCACTACATTTTTCAAAGAAACAAATGCCGCGTAGAATCAGGAACGTGGAAGGTCAAACGACAACACAGGTTTATTTAAGTTCAAATAATCTGAGCGTCGGCAGTCGGCCGCTTCGTCAGCCGGACAGTCACCAGTTTCAACTCATCTAGGCTCTATTTCCAGCCTTATGAACATGTTTAAAGCAGTAAGTTCAGTTCTGCAGAATCTAGCCGCCGACTCAACAGCAGGTGCAAACCGTGCTGATGGAGATACTTCTTTCAGGTACTTGATATCATTTGAGTTTGTGTTTGTGCTATGTATGATGAGGGAAATGTTAGAAATAACTGAACAACTTGGCCAAGCTTTACAAAAGAAATCGCAAGATATAGTAAATGCTATTTGTCTTGTGCAAACCACAAAAGTACTTCTTGAGAAAATGAGATCTGATGATGGATGGGAAACTTTTTTTTGTCAAGTTGTTGAGTTTTGCATGAATCATGACATTCTTATTCCAAATATGGAAGAAACATACATTTTGCGTGGTGGCCGTGCTCGTCGTCAACCTGAACATTTTACAAAGGAGCGCTACTATCGAGTGGAGATATTTCGTGCAACCATTGATACCCAGTTGACTGAATTAAACTTGAAGTTCAATGAGAAAGTGATGGATCTTTTGTCCATTAGTGTTACACTTGTACCAAGAAATGGATTTGCAGATTTCCAAACAAAAGAGATATGTAGAATGGTTGAGAAGTACTACCCGTTGGATTTCAATCACCAAGAAATGATTGGGTTAGAGCGTCAGCTAAACCATTTTATTATTGATGCTTCTACCAATGAAGACATGAAAAATATTTCTACCTTGGTGGACCTATGTCGAGGCTTTGTTAAGATAGGGACGGCATAGAATCTTTAACTTGGTTGATAGATTGATCCGTTTGCTTGTTACTCTCCGGTTTCAACGACTCTTTGCGAGCGTATTTTCTCTATCTTGAAGATCGTCGAGACAAATTTCTGCATAACAAGATAGAAGATCAATACCTTGTCAACAGTTTGCTTGTTCGGTCGAAGGTGAAATTGTAGAACACTACACCTATGATGATATAATCTCAGATTTCAAGGATATGAAGAACTGAAGAGCAGACTTTTAGGATTTGATAGTCCTATAACGTTGGACACATATTTTGGCTTGGCTTGTTTAATAGTTTGTGGTGACTTGCATTTTGTGAAATGTAACCCAACTATAAATATATATAACTAGCTAGTTTTAGTTCATAACTTGGTTAAGAGTAGTCTGACAGTATCTGTAGTCACTTGATATGTGATTAGTTAAATTTATCATAGTATATATGGTTTTATTTCTGATGTCAACATATTTCACTCACTTGTGTTTTTGTAAGTTGGCCCCCCCCTTTTGTGCCGTGCTCCCTCACTGCAGAGAGCTACCGGAGGTAGTCTTCCCGGCCACCAAGGAGGAGGAGGTGCCTCCGCCGACGCCATCCTCTGACCTGCACAAGCACCTGGGCGAGCTCTTGGAGAGCCAGAAGGGCGCCGACGTCACGTTCCTGCTCCCACTTGATGTTGCCGCTGCCAAGGAGAAGACCATTACCTTGAGTGTTATATAAAGTCAACGAAACAATAATTGACTTGACGGTGTTGTTGTCAAGAAAAAGACTATTACCTTGATGGTCCACACCCACCAAAGAAATAAGTACTCTCTCAACCACAAGAAAATTGAAGGCCGGAGTGCAACGGTCCTCCCTTTCCCGTCTCCATGTAAACTCCTCTGTTCCACTTGGAGACAGACTCCCCGTCGCCTCACGAGATGACGCCGAAGGCCCGTGCTCCGAGGCCCAATCGACGGGGAGAGCTACGTTGTACGACCGCGTCTTCTCGAGTCGACGCCGCGCTCGGATCCCGTGTGGGGGCACTCGCGGATTGTGGTTTGCGCGCGGGATGGTACTCCGCTCCTCCTCATGCCGGCCGCGTTGCTCCTTGCTGCGTGAAGCCAGCGCCACTACGCTCGTTGCCACCGGCTGCGATACGAGGAATGGCAAGGCCGCAGGACCCATTCGTCGTGGAAGCTGCTCGACAGCCGTAGTCATCGGACGCAGACGCCCTCCAAGAGCTACTGCTGCATACTGTCACGCCGTTTGGGTCCGGCGAGATGTTGAAGCACAGGTCGTCCTCGCCGGCCATCCTCCGCCTTTGGCCCTTGCAGCATGGAATCCCTGGTCAACCAGGTGTTGATGTGATTGCTTGTGGGTGTTCCTTTCATGATTTGCCTCTGATTGTGGCTGATACTTTGAGCTTCGTGTTCGTGTTGCGAGCTTGCTACGGCATGTAGTTTAGGTGTTTGTTGAAATGTCCATTCAAGCATCTAAAATACATGCTGATTTTTTTAGTGAAGAATGCATCTAAAATACAATATATGCTATATGATGAAACCAACCAAACTTTTTTTTGGTTAATTTCTCAGTTCTCACCACCGATTTATTCAACAAGTTGTTACTCACAGGATAGTCTCCTTGCAAGTTCAGGCTATCTGAGTCAGCCTGAAATGGAGCCAAGTTGGATAGGATTTGTGCAAAGTATAGGGTCGGCAAAGTATGGCAACACTATAAAAAAACAAAGGAAATTAGACAAAAGGTGTCACAACTATATGTGATATAATTATATATTAATGCTTTTAAAAATATTATAATCATGTTGCTCTTATTTATCCTTGATACATTTTCTATCAAATAGTCACATAGTGGTATGTATAAATTTATTTATAGTTGATCCTAGCTACATGTAAAATATTAAATAGCTTAAAGATGGATCTCAGTCTGTGAGTTGTATGACATGTCTTTATATCTATCTATACGAAAGATTCGAGGCGTTTAGAGATGGACCCGTCTGCGGTTGTACGTGCCCTAACACTGTTTACATAAACTGTTATGCTCACAGTTCCTCGTAAAGGTTCATTAACTGCTACTGCGTCCGTTCAACTACGGGCCAGTTTGGATGCCAATTTTTTTGGCAAAACACACTCATCTGCATTTTTTCGTTGTTACTTGATAATTAGTGTCCAATTATAGTCTAATTAGGCTTAAAAGATTCGTCTCGTGGATTTTGTCTAAACTGTGTAATTAGTTTTATTTTTTATTTATATTTAATGCTTCATGCATGCGTCAAAGATTCGATGTGACGAAAAATCTTAAAAAATTTAGCATTTTGGGGTGCAACTAAATAGAGCATACGTCTCCGAAGGGCTACGCAACTACTCTCTTTCAGGCCTGGTTTAGTTTTAAAAAAAATTTAAAAGGTGCTACAATATTCATCACATCGAATCTTGCAATACATGTATGGAACATTAAATATAGATGAAAAAAAAACTAATTGCACAGTTTGGTTGAAAATCACGAGACAAACGTTTTAAACCTAATTAGTCCATAATTGAATACTAATTACTAAATAAAAATAAAAATAATACAGTAAAAAAATTCCAAATTTCAACCCACTAAACACAGCCCCGTCCCTAGCTTCTCCACGGAAGGTAAATTAAAAAAATCCACGTCACCGCGCCTCGCTGCCTCCGCTAATGGCGACTGGCGAAACTTCGTCTCCCCGTCGGCACCGCACGCGGATGCCGCGTTCAGCCCTGATGGCAGCTGCGCGCGCCGGGCGCTTGGTTGCCTCTTCATCTTCCCTGGCGTGCGGCGCGCAGGTGCGGCGGCCAGCCTTGCCGGCGGCTGCACGCGGAATCCCCGAGGCCTCGCTCGCCCGCCGTCGCGGCCTTCGCCTCCACCTCCGACCTGACGCCCTCGGCCTTGAACCAGTCCTCAGCCCAGCGCCGCTTCCGCCCCAGCTTCAAGAGCAACGCTAGGGGAGCCGAGGCGGGATCTTCATCTGTCCCGGCGGGCAGCGCGCAGGTGCGGCGGTCAGCCTTGCCGGCGGATGCGCGCGGAACCCCGAGGCTTCGCCCTCCGCCCCCGCCGTCGCGGCCTCGGCCTCCACCTCCGACCTGCCGCCATCGGCCTTGACCCTGTCCTCCACCCCAGCTTCAAGAACAACGCCAGGGGAGCCGAGGCGGGAGCACCATCTGCTGCACATGACCTCGAATGCAGCAGATCAGTTGGTGTCGGCCACGAATTGTGAGTCCAACCTTCTGTCTCTTTGCCTCTCTACATGGAATTGATCCGATTCGACCACACCGTCTCAAGCAGGAATCAAGTCGTCGGTGATGGGGGCTCAGTGGCAAGCTCAGAAGTAGGGGCCGCCGTCTGGTACCTCGGCGAAGACATCGCCAGCAGAAGCACGCTGCCGTGTAGTGTGGATGCAGTGACCTGCAGAACGAGGTCGGGTGGTGCACAACAGCGAGGTGCTCAGCGGTGATTTTGACCCAGGTTGCTTCTCCTATTGCCTCCTCATTTATTCCCAATATTCATGCTCATCGCTATACAGCCTGCAGGAAACAATGAATTACTAATTTGCTCAACCTCCGCTCAATGCTACAGGTAAATTTTGTTGTCCGTTTTCCTTGCGCTAGCCTAACACATTTCACGCAAAGAAATGTCATTTGTTAGTGTTACCCTTGATGTACTTGATACACTTCTGGATGTTACCAGGCCTGCAATTCCTCATTCCAAATACATACATCGACAGTTGGAGTGTTCTGGTTATTGCTTCAGTTTGAGGCACATATTGCGTATTGGCATTTGCTAATAGAGGTGTGTGATTTACATAAAGGCTTAAAAGTGCAGCTTCGATTCTATCAATGTGCTGTAGATTCTGATCATGCCATCTTTTGAGGCTCACATAATACATATCTTACCAAGCCTATTTTTTTACTTAACAACCAGTTTACCTATTCCAGTTTTTGGTTGTCTGCACATGTATATAGTCCCAGTGAAATCATGTCTTTATTAACTAGGCAGCAGAATCATGTTTAACTATCATGCTCAGAAATTATGTGCTTTACGACATTTTTTATACTGAATACCTAACCACTCCTAAATAGTCGTCACCAATTTTGCCTTCCTTTTCTCCTATTTTAGCCATTTCTTCTTTTCTTTAAGTTTTAGTTTGAGTTCCCTTTCCACATATCTCTCTTATTATGTACTACCATATAAATATGTCAGCATTTTGGTTAATCTGGTACTGATGCTGTATGCATACATTTTTGTCACTGGATGCGGTCTTATAATCAGTTACATGTACCATCAAGTCCCTACCTTTTTGCCAACTACAACAGGTATCATTACGTGGTAAATTCTAAGAGCCTTCGTATTTGTTTCTGCTTACAGATGATGATAATATTCTTTTACCACTTGAGGTCTACTTTACATATGACAAGATTATTCTGCAACCTTAAGATGTAAACAGTGATGCACCCTAACAAGGATGCATATTGGCAATTCTGAAATTTCAGTATGTGTCCATGCAGCAACACTGTTTTTAGCAGATGAGTTCCTCATGTCATACTCAATAGAATTGTGAGGTTGAAGCTGTGAATGTGAATATTTACAGCCATGGAGAGTGGTGATCAGGAGCCTCCTGTATCCTGGCATTATAGATGCATGCCTCACGTGGTTGCTGAACCTGCAACAATTATACTCCTATAATAATGGAGCAACACAGACAAGAGACATGCATTGTTTCTCCTGTTTTTCATACAGTTATGTTTAGCCTCTGTTTTCTGAACAATTAAGGATGCTGTTGTTTGCATGTTCACTCCCTCTCTGACCATGCTTGGACAAGATCTAAATTAATAACTACCTATTGTTTTTCAGGTGTGCCTTTGGGATGCAGACACAAAATCGTTTAATTTCTTCAAGATGAAAACTTAGCTGCTTTGGTGAGAGACACGAGAATTGATGATCTCATATCATTATTCATGCGGTTCTTTGATATTACAGCTCAACTTGAGTCTTGAGACTTGACTCACAAGGTTATATGATCATTATTCATGCGGTTCTTTGATATTACAGCTCAACTTGTGTTTCCCCTTTTTATATACCATTTCAAGATTTTGGGACTACGGGAACAGTGAAAGAAATAGATATTTAGCAGCAAAGCTCCCTTTGCCCATATTTGCAATCCTCACCAAGATGAGATATTCATTTTATTTGTATACCTTATATAGTGATGTCGACTATTCCACACTATATTATGCTATGTTCAGCTTCACCACATTTTATAGATCTTTATGCATATTTTCATGGCTCAATATATTCTAACTATGAAGGATTAGTATCTTTAGTTACATGGGATCAAACCTGCCGTGCTCACTGTTAAGATACTAAGCTTCTGGCATGTAACAAACAACCGCGGGCTAATGATTTTACCGACAAACAACTGCTCATTTACAGTACCTAATACGGTGGGCGCAGCGTAAGCGTGCCTACCGTGCTAGTAAGTATTAACTCGGTCGGCCCTCAAGAATATGAAATCCTTGGTGCTTGTACCATCTGAAGTAATTTCCTTGTCCACATTACAAATTAGACCCCACCCTATTATCCATGAGGGCTTGCCTCCAATTAAGTAGACCATCCTTGACCGCTAGAACTACCAAGGAAACTAATTTAACTTATCCTCTACCCTTGACGGGTTATGCTTGACGGTTGGCCACCACTAAGCCTTCTTCTTGGCAATTTAGCTATTTTCCTTGGTGGTTTCAGGCCCAAGTAATGTTGGCAGGAGAGGCGGGTCCAAAAAAGAGAAGAAGTAATACATGGCTTCTTCTTACTCCTTCGGCCCAAACTCCAAAATGGAATTTATTTATATAGTTGTCCTAAGTTAAATTATTTCAAATTTAAATAACTTTATAAAAAAGTGCATAAAAAATTATGACATCAAATTAATATCACCATATGCATTATGAAATATATTTTCATAATATATTTATTTGGTGTTATTGATGTTATTACCATTTTCTATAATGTTAGATAAACTTGAATAATTTTAGAATGAAGTTGATTTATTTTGAGATGGAGGGGTTTTTTTTAGGAAATTTCGAGATGGAGGTAGTATCATGATCTATCTATCTCTAACCATTTGTTTTAATTTGTAGGCTCGATCCGTTGGGTTAGCCCAACTGCTCGATGGGGCTTGTATAACGCTTAACGCTCCTAGCTCGCACGGCCTATTGGGCCTCATAGGCTACTGGGATACAGTTTTCAAATAAGCCAAGCATTTAACGGTCACGGTCCTAGTAAAAGCGGTGCATATAAACGCAAAAACTTCACTACTATTAAGACGAGAATCCGAAAAACTTCACTACATTTTTCAAAGAAACAAATGCCGCGTAGAATCAGGAACGTGGAAGGTCAAACGACAACACAGGTTTATTTAAGTTCAAATAATCTGAGCGTCGGCAGTCGGCCGCTTCGTCAGCCGGACAGTCACCAGTTTCAACTCATCTAGGCTCTATTTCCAGCCTTATGAACATGTTTAAAGCAGTAAGTTCAGTTCTGCAGAATCTAGCCGCCGACTCAACAGCAGGTGCAAACCGTGCTGATGGAGATACTTCTTTCAGGTACTTGATATCATTTGAGTTTGTGTTTGTGCTATGTATGATGAGGGAAATGTTAGAAATAACTGAACAACTTGGCCAAGCTTTACAAAAGAAATCGCAAGATATAGTAAATGCTATTTGTCTTGTGCAAACCACAAAAGTACTTCTTGAGAAAATGAGATCTGATGATGGATGGGAAACTTTTTTTTGTCAAGTTGTTGAGTTTTGCATGAATCATGACATTCTTATTCCAAATATGGAAGAAACATACATTTTGCGTGGTGGCCGTGCTCGTCGTCAACCTGAACATTTTACAAAGGAGCGCTACTATCGAGTGGAGATATTTCGTGCAACCATTGATACCCAGTTGGCTGAATTAAACTTGAAGTTCAATGAGAAAGTGATGGATCTTTTGTCCATTAGTGTTACACTTGTACCAAGAAATGGATTTGCAGATTTCCAAACAAAAGAGATATGTAGAATGGTTGAGAAGTACTACCCGTTGGATTTCAATCACCAAGAAATGATTGGGTTAGAGCGTCAGCTAAACCATTTTATTATTGATGCTTCTACCAATGAAGACATGAAAAATATTTCTACCTTGGTGGACCTATGTCGAGGCTTTGTTAAGATAGGACGGCATAGAATCTTTAACTTGGTTGATAGATTGATCCGTTTGCTTGTTACTCTCCCAGTTTCAACAGCTACTGCAGAACGTATTTTCTCTATCTTGAAGATCGTCGAGACAAGGCTGCGCAACAAGATAGAAGATCAATACCTTGTCAACAGTTTGCTTGTTCAGGTCGAAGGTGAAATTGTAGAACACTACACCTATGATGATATAATCTCAGATTTCAAGGATATGAAGAACAGAAGAGCAGACTTTTAGGATTTGATAGTCCTATAACGTTGGACACATATTTTGGCTTGGCTTGTTTAATAGTTTGTGGTGACTTGCATTTTGTGAAATGTAACCCAACTATAAATATATATAACTAGCTAGTTTTAGTTCATAACTTGGTTAAGAGTAGTCTGACAGTATCTGTAGTCACTTGATATGTGATTAGTTAAATTTATCATAGTATATATGGTTTTATTTCTGATGTCAACATATTTCACTCACTTGTGTTTTTGTAAGTTGGCCCCCCCCCCCCCTTTTGTGCCGTGCTCCCTCACTGCAGAGAGCTACCGGAGGTAGTCTTCCCGGCCACCAAGGAGGAGGAGGTGCCTCCGCCGACGCCATCCTCTGACCTGCACAAGCACCTGGGCGAGCTCTTGGAGAGCCAGAAGGGCGCCGACGTCACGTTCCTGCTCCCACTTGATGTTGCCGCTGCCAAGGAGAAGACCATTACCTTGAGTGTTATATAAAGTCAACGAAACAATAATTGACTTGACGGTGTTGTTGTCAAGAAAAAGACTATTACCTTGATGGTCCACACCCACCAAAGAAATAAGTACTCTCTCAACCACAAGAAAATTGAAGGCCGGAGTGCAACGGTCCTCCCTTTCCCGTCTCCATGTAAACTCCTCTGTTCCACTTGGAGACAGACTCCCCGTCGCCTCACGAGATGACGCCGAAGGCCCGTGCTCCGAGGCCCAATCGACGGGGAGAGCTACGTTGTACGACCGCGTCTTCTCGAGTCGACGCCGCGCTCGGATCCCGTGTGGGGCACTCGCGGATTGTGGTTTGCGCGCGGGATGGTACTCCGCTCCTCCTCATGCCGGCCGCGTTGCTCCTTGCTGCGTGAAGCCAGCGCCACTACGCTCGTTGCCACCGGCTGCGATACGAGGAATGGCAAGGCCGCAGGACCCATTCGTCGTGGAAGCTGCTCGACAGCCGTAGTCATCGGACGCAGACGCCCTCCAAGAGCTACTGCTGCATACTGTCACGCCGTTTGGGTCCGGCGAGATGTTGAAGCACAGGTCGTCCTCGCCGGCCATCCTCCGCCTTTGGCCCTTGCAGCATGGAATCCCTGGTCAACCAGGTGTTGATGTGATTGCTTGTGGGTGTTCCTTTCATGATTTGCCTCTGATTGTGGCTGATACTTTGAGCTTCGTGTTCGTGTTGCGAGCTTGCTACGGCATGTAGTTTAGGTGTTTGTTGAAATGTCCATTCAAGCATCTAAAATACATGCTGATTTTTTAGTGAAGAATGCATCTAAAATACAATATATGCTATATGATGAAACCAACCAAACTTTTTTTGGTTAATTTCTCAGTTCTCACCACCGATTTATTCAACAAGTTGTTACTCACAGGATAGTCTCTCTTGCAAGTTCAGGCTATCTGAGTCAGCCTGAAATGGAGCCAAGTTGGATAGGATTTGTGCAAAGTATAGGGTCGGCAAAGTATATGGCAACACTATAAAAACAAAGGAAATTAGACAAAAGGTGTCACAACTATATGTGATATAATTATATATTAATGCTTTTAAAAATATTATAATCATGTTGCTCTTATTTATCCTTGATACATTTTCTATCAAATAGTCACATAGTGGTATGTATAAATTTATTTATAGTTGATCCTAGCTACATGTAAAATATTAAATAGCTTAAAGATGGATCTCGGTCATGAGTTGTATGACATGTCTTTATATCTATCTATACTAAAGATTCGAGGCGTTTAGAGATGGACCCGTCTCATGGGTTGTATGCGTGTTCTAACACTGTTTACATAAACTGTTATGCTCACAGTTCCTCGTAAAGGTTCATTAACTGCTATCTGCGTCTGTTCAACTACGGGCGCTTTGGATGCCAATTTTTTTGGCAAAACACTACTGTACCGTTTTCGTTGTTACTTGATAATTAGTGTCCAATTATAGTCTAATTAGGCTTAAAAGATTCGTCTCGTGGATTTTGTCTAAACTGTGTAATTAGTTTTATTTTTATTTATATTTAATGCTTCATGCATGCGTCAAAGATTCGATGTGATTGAAAAATCTTAAAAATTTAGCATTTTGGGGTGCAACTAAATAGAGCATACGTCTCCGAAGGGCTACGCAACTACTCTCTTTCAGGGCCTGGTTTAGTTTTTAAAAAATTTAAAAGGTGCTACAATATTCATCACATCGAATCTTGCAATACATGTATGGAACATTAAATATGATGAAAAAAAAAACTAATTGCGTACGTTTGGTTGAAAATCACGAGACAAACGTTTTAAACCTAATTAGTCCATAATTGAATACTAATTACTAAATAAAAATAAAAATAATACAGTAAAAAAATTCCAAATTTCAACCCACTAAACACAGCCCCGTCCCTAGCTTCTCCACGGAAGGTAAATTAAAAAAATCCACGTCACCGCGCCTCGCTGCCTCCGCTAATGGCGACTGGCGAAACTTCGTCTCCCCGTCGGCACCGCACGCGGATGCCGCGTTCAGCCCTGATGGCAGCTGCGCGCGCGCGGGCGCTTGGTTGCCTCTTCATCTTCCCTGGCGTGCGGCGCGCAGGTGCGGCGGCCAGCCTTGCCGGCGGCTGCACGCGGAATCCCCGAGGCCTCGCTCGCCCGCCGTCGCGGCCTTCGCCTCCACCTCCGACCTGACGCCCTCGGCCTTGAACCAGTCCTCAGCCCAGCGCCGCTTCCGCCCCAGCTTCAAGAGCAACGCTAGGGGAGCCGAGGCGGGATCTTCATCTGTCCCGGCGGGCAGCGCGCAGGTGCGGCGGTCAGCCTTGCCGGCGGATGCGCGCGGAACCCCGAGGCTTCGCCCTCCGCCCCCGCCGTCGCGGCCTCGGCCTCCACCTCCGACCTGCCGCCATCGGCCTTGACCCTGTCCTCCACCCCAGCTTCAAGAACAACGCCAGGGGAGCCGAGGCGGGAGCACCATCTGCTGCACATGACCTCGAATGCAGCAGATCAGTTGGTGTCGGCCACGAATTGTGAGTCCAACCTTCTGTCTCTTTGCCTCTCTACATGGAATTGATCCGATTCGACCACACCGTCTCAAGCAGGAATCAAGTCGTCGGTGATGGGGGGCTCAGTGGCAAGCTCAGAAGTAGGGGCCGCCGTCTGGTACCTCGGCGAAGACATCGCCAGCAGAAGCACGCTGCCGTGTAGTGTGGATGCAGTGACCTGCAGAACGAGGTCGGGTGGTGCACAACAGCGAGGTGCTCAGCGGTGATTTTGACCCAGGTTGCTTCTCCTATTGCCTCCTCATTTATTCCCAATATTCATGCTCATCGCTATACAGCCTGCAGGAAACAATGAATTACTAATTTGCTCAACCTCCGCTCAATGCTACAGGTAAATTTTGTTGTCCGTTTTCCTTGCGCTAGCCTAACACATTTCACGCAAAGAAATGTCATTTGTTAGTGTTACCCCTTGATGTACTTGATACACTTCTGGATGTTACCAGGCCTGCAATTCCTCATTCCAAATACATACATCGACAGTTGGAGTGTTCTGGTTATTGCTTCAGTTTGAGGCACATATTGCGTATTGGCATTTGCTAATAGAGGTGTGTGATTTACATAAAGGCTTAAAAGTGCAGCTTCGATTCTATCAATGTGCTGTAGATTCTGATCATGCCATCTTTTGAGGCTCACATAATACATATCTTACCAAGCCTATTTTTTTACTTAACAACCAGTTTACCTATTCCAGTTTTTGGTTGTCTGCACATGTATATAGTCCCAGTGAAATCATGTCTTTATTAACTAGGCAGCAGAATCATGTTTAACTATCATGCTCAGAAATTATGTGCTTTACGACATTTTTTTTATACTGAATACCTAACCACTCCTAAATAGTCGTCACCAATTTTGCCTTCCTTTTCTCCTATTTTAGCCATTTCTTCTTTTCTTTAAGTTTTAGTTTGAGTTCCTTTCCACATATCTCTCTTATTATGTACTACCATATAAATATGTCAGCATTTTGGTTAATCTGGTACTGATGCTGTATGCATACATTTTTGTCACTGGATGCGGTCTTATAATCAGTTACATGTACCATCAAGTCCCTACCTTTTGCCAACTACAACAGGTATCATTACGTGGTAAATTCTAAGAGCCTTCAGATTTGTTTCTGCTTACAGATGATGATAATATTCTTTTTACCACTTGAGGTCTACTTTACATATGACAAGATTATTCTGCAACCTTAAGATGTAAACAGTGATGCACCCTAACAAGGATGCATATTGGCAATTCTGAAATTTCAGTATGTGTCCATGCAGCAACACTGTTTTTAGCAGATGAGTTCCTCATGTCATACTCAATAGAATTGTGAGGTTGAAGCTGTGAATGTGAATATTTACAGCCATGGAGAGTGGTGATCAGGAGCCTCCTGTATCCTGGCATTATAGATGCATGCCTCACGTGGTTGCTGAACCTGCAACAATTATACTCCTATAATAATGGAGCAACACAGACAAGAGACATGCATTGTTTCTCCTGTTTTTCATACAGTTATGTTTAGCCTCTGTTTTCTGAACAATTAAGGATGCTGTTGTTTGCATGTTCACTCCCTCTCTGACCATGCTTGGACAAGATCTAAATTAATAACTACCTATTGTATTTCAGGTGTGCCTTTGGGATGCAGACACAAAATCGTTTAATTTCTTCAAGATGAAAACTTAGCTGCTTTGGTGAGAGACACGAGAATTGATGATCTCATATCATTATTCATGCGGTTCTTTGATATTACAGCTCAACTTGAGTCTTGAGACTTGACTCACAAGGTTATATGATCATTATTCATGCGGTTCTTTGATATTACAGCTCAACTTGTGTTTCCCCTTTTTATATACCATTTCAAGATTTTGGGACTACGGGAACAGTGAAAGAAATAGATATTTAGCAGCAAAGCTCCCTTTGCCCATATTTGCAATCCTCACCAAGATGAGATATTCATTTTTATTTGTATACCTTATATAGTGATGTCGACTATTCCACACTATATTATGCTATGTTCAGCTTCACCACATTTTATAGATCTTTATGCGTATTTTCATGGCTCAATATATTCTAACTATGAAGGATTAGTATCTTTAGTTACATGGGATCAAACCTGCCGTGCTCACTGTTAAGGTACTAAGCTTCTGGCATGTAGCAAACAACCGCGGGCTAATGATTTTACCGACAAACAACTGCTCATTTACAGTACCTAATACGGTGGGCGCAGCGTAAGCGTGCCTACCGTGCTAGTAAGTATTAACTCGGTCGGCCCTCAAGAATATGAAATCCTTGGTGCTTGTACCATCTGAAGTAATTTCCTTGTCCACATTACAAATTAGACCCCACCCTATTATCCATGAGGGCTTGCCTCCAATTAAGTAGACCATCCTTGACCGCTAGAACTACCAAGGAAACTAATTTAACTTATCCTCTACCCTTGACGGGTTATGCTTGACGGTTGGCCACCACTAAGCCTTCTTCTTGGCAATTTAGCTATTTTCCTTGGTGGTTTCAGGCCCAAGTAATGTTGGCAGGAGAGGCGGGTCCAAAAAAGAGAAGAAGTAATACATGGCTTCTTCTTACTCCTTCGGCCCAAACTCCAAAATGGAATTTATTTATATAGTTGTCCTAAGTTAAATTATTTCAAATTTAAATAACTTTATAAAAAAGTGCATAAAAAATTATGACATCAAATTAATATCACCATATGCATTATGAAATATATTTTCATAATATATTTATTTGGTGTTATTGATGTTATTACCATTTTCTATAATGTTAGATAAACTTGAATAATTTTAGAATGAAGTTGATTTATTTTGAGATGGAGGGTTTTTTTAGGAAATTTCGAGATGGAGGTAGTATCATGATCTATCTATCTCTAACCATTTGTTTTAATTTGTAGGCTCGATCCGTTGGGTTAGCCCAACTGCTCGATGGGGCTTGTATAACGCTTAACGCTCCTAGCTCGCACGGCCTATTGGGCCTCATAGGCTACTGGGATACAGTTTTCAAATAAGCCAAGCATTTAACGGTCACGGTCCTAGTAAAAGCGGTGCATATAAACGCAAAAACTTCACTACTATTAAGACGAGAATCCGAAAAACTTCACTACATTTTTCAAAGAAACAAATGCCGCGTAGAATCAGGAACGTGGAAGGTCAAACGACAACACAGGTTTATTTAAGTTCAAATAATCTGAGCGTCGGCAGTCGGCCGCTTCGTCAGCCGGACAGTCACCAGTTTCAACTCATCTGAACCTCAACCGCCGGCCGAGAGGCACACAGCCGTGATATAAATTGAACTGTGCTGTTTCATCCTCTCAACAGTCAACACAGAAGCGAAACGACTCTCGCCTCCACCGCTCTCACACTCCCAAATCCCAGCTCGCCTCCAAACCATGGAAACTCTTACCGAGGTTGTTCGCTCGTCGAAGCAGATCAAGATCCAATGATTTTCTTTGACATATGCCATGCCCGACGCCGAGGTTCTCAGATCGAGGGTATGTAACGCCGGCGGCTATAAGTGGGAGGTTCATGTGCTTCCAAAAAAGTATTTCGAGTTCCTTGGCAATTGCATTGCACTTAATCTCTACTTCCGTGGTGAGATGCCCCGGGACATTAGTAATGTGAAGGCGACGTTTGGCTATCGGTTGATAGATCCAAGCGGGAAGCTGAAGCCATCTCAAGGGTATTCCGTGTCACATCACTTCAAGCGTTCAGGAGATTCTCATTATGGAGGTGCCCTCATGAGAAGAGATCTTTTGCAAACATCAGGTTATCTCAAGGGCGATGCATTCGTCGTGGAGTGCACCCTCGCGGTGCTCAGAGAACTCGACAAAAATGCAACCACTCATTGCCCACGCCCAGCAGATGATCTAGTCCCATCCTCCCGCTTGCACCACCACCTCGGCGAGCTCCTGCACAAGGGGACGGGATCCGACGTGAGACGCTCGTCACTGCCGGAGAGTCCTTCGCGGCGCACAAGGCCATACTGACCTCAAGGTCCCCGGTCTTCATGGCCGAGTTCTTCGGCCACATGAAGGAGAAGCGATCGCAGCGCGTCGAGATCAAGGACATGGATGCCGCGATCCTCGGAGCCATGCTCCGCTTCATCTACACCGACTCGGCGCCGGAACCGGAGGACGACGGCGGGGTGGCCACAGCGCCGCACCTTCTTGCGGCGGCGGACAGGTACGGGGTTGACAGGGTCAAGCTGGCGAGGACAGGCTCCACGATGGCGTCAGCGTCGACACGGTGGCGACGACTCTGGCCTTGGCGGAGCAGCACGGCTGATACCGTCTCAAGGCTAAGTGCGTCGAGCTCATCGCGGCAAACCTTGAGGCCGTCATGGCGACAGACGGCTACAAGAATCTCACGGCACTACAACATGTCTCTTAATAGCGTTTTGCTAAAGGCATTTTTTCAAAGTGCCTTAATTTCTAGTTGCATAAAGGCATTTATCTCAAAAGGCCTTTGAAAGTATATTTTTAAAGGCAAAATTAAAAAACGCCTTAACTACATGTGACTATTGGAGGTGTTTTGTCAAAAGTGCCTCCGTTACTGCAACTATTTGAGGTGTTTTTTCGAAAAACGCCTATCCTGTCTTAACTCATGGTAGATTTCCGCGCCTGCGCCAAGTCGTGGCCTGCGGAAGCGTAGCCTCCACTGATTTGCAGGAAAGTCCTCCATAGTCATCAAAGAAAGACCGCATAGCATACGCATTCAAAACTTTTATGAATAAACCCTTGGTCTGCACTCTTTCAACGTGAAGACGAAAAAATTCAGCAACCTTGTCATTTTTCAAAAACTCCCCGAAGGTGAATTTGCGGAGAACCTCCCCTTGACCCCCGACCCCGATTCCTCTCGTTCGTCGCCCTCTTCCTCCTCCTCCTCCTCCTCCTCTCTCTCTCCCTCTCTCTCCTCCCGCCGCCGCCGTCGCTCAGTTGTTGGGAGCCGCGCGAGGTCGGTGGCATTCGGCGGCGCAACGGCGTGGGGAGTCACGCGTCACTGGTGCGGAGATAGGTCGGAACTCGCTGGCCTCCTTGGCACTCAGCCATGTCGCCCACGACACGACACCCTCATAAGCAGGCAGCCGGGCTCCCAACTTGTGATGGGAAGCGGCTGCTCGCCTTCCCCCAGATCCGGCCGACACCTTCTCCGTCAGATCCAGCACGGTGGTGATGACGGCTGCTTCCATGCCCATGGGGAAGTTTTGTACCACGTTCGTCTCGAACTTTTTGGCCAGGTACGCATTACATGTTGGGTACCATGATGCTATCATTTCTAAATGTTTTGGCATGTTTGTATCCAGATTCAGTAGTACCATGATGCTATCTAGGCATTACATGCGCTTACTAGGCATTCCTCGTTGAAGATCAACAATTGCAATGATCTATCCCCATCACGATGAAATTTCCCATGATTATTCGGGCCTGTCGTCCAAGGCTATATACTCATTGAATACATCAGTGTAGCGCACGTGCGGCCCAGAATATCTAAGGGCATCACAACCTGTTATTGCCTCAAACTTCCGTGACCTAAACGGCCATAGTCCCTCTAAGAAGCTAGCTGCAGAGGGATGGCTACGCATAGCTCGTTAGCGAGGTCGAGGTCTCGTTAGATTAATGGAATTAACCAGACAAATCGCTCCACCAACTAAGAACGGCCATGCACCACCACCCATAGAATCAAGAAAGAGCTCTCAGTCTGTCAAACCTTGCTATGTCTGGACCTGATAAGTTTCCCCGTGTTGAGTCAAATTAAGCCACAAGCTCCACGCCTGGTGGTGCCCTTCCGTCAATTCCTTTTAAGTTTCAGCCTTGCGACCATACTCCCTCCGGAACCCAAAGACTTTGATTTCTCATAAGGTGCTGGCGGAGTCCTATAAGCAACATCCGTCGATCCCTGGTCGGCATCGTTTATGGTTGAGACTAGGACGGTATCTGATCGTCTTCAAGCCCCCAACTTTCGTTCTTGATTAATGAAAACATCCTTAGCAAATGCTTTCGCAGTTGTTCGTCTTTCATAAATTCAAGAATTTCACCTCTGACTATGAAATACGAATGCCCCCGACTGTCCTTATTAATCATTACTCCGATCCCGAAGGCCAACACAATAATACTGGAATCCTATGATGTTATCCCATGCTAATGTATTGGCATGCATGTTTGTAAATGTTTTGGCATGTTTGAATCCAGATTCAATAGTACCATGATGCTATCATCTTAATTGTTTCAGCTGAGTAGCCTGGCTTTAGAGTGTAATTTCCCCTTTCTTAAAAAATACACTTGCGTCTAGGACTGTAAATGTAACCAGTTTTCCCTCAATTTTTTTTTGTTCTTGAGTGTAGAGTAGTGTTCTAAAGTTGGTCTTTGTTGACACATTTATGTACCTTGTGTATGTCGATATTCCAATAGAATGGAAGGGCAAATTAATCAGATGTGGTACTCAATCTGTGTAGTTATTTACTCTTACATGCCAGCTGCTGCATGATCCATACTTTAAGCATGTAGCCTTTTTTTGCTAAATGATTTCCTCAATCAGATTATAAATTTATATTTTGGGTTCAGTTTTTCAGTGGTACCTTTGGTGGCCTGCCGAGCACTGGACATCGTCCACATTGATGAGCAGCGTGTCTTCCTCTATGCCGATAGCAAGATGCTGTTGTTGGCAGCAATAACGTGACGTCGTGGATGCTTGACCATGCAGCAAGGCTGCCCCGGCAACTCATTGCTGAGAAGGATGGTGTCACCACCGGATCCGGTAGGTGTATGAACATATTGTAGATATCTTGAGTGTTTTCTCTTTGTTGGAATTAGCATACGCTGACATGGGGTTCAAGAAAAGACTATAGATCAAAACTATATTCTCATGTTTTTGTTTGTCAAACTATGCCCATAATGGATGTTTCCATTTTGAAGATTTTAGGTCTGTAGTTGTTTTATTTTACACTGATGACTGATCTCCTGCACATATGAGATATTAGTTTGTTCTGTTTTTATAGCCGCACCAACAAAAACTTCTAGACAAGCTGCTGTGCAACCATGATGAGCTATAGAACTACAGCAGCGCCACAGTTAAGAATATTTATAACTTGATAGACTCTGAAATCCTAATTTGTAATTTCTTTTCCTCTATATAAACTCTACAAATTGTGGTATATACACTGTATGTGTTTTTATTTTTTGATGTTTTAGAATACAGGATTCCAGGTCAAATACAGGATAGCAGGTAGTCAACAATAGCAGAATCCAATCAACTAAAGGCATTGCCGCTCATCGTTTTAGTGCTACGTCCATAAGCATAGGGTTGTTTGACAAATGAAAATACCATTCAGTCTATATTGTCCGATCGTGCAGTCCATCTATATTAAACTTCTCTAAGAAAAATTAGTGTGCAGGGGAAGAGTTAAACTGTAAAGCCCATTGCAGTGATGCAATAATAGGAAGAGTTAAACTGTAAAAGCCCATTGCAGGCATGCTTGGACTTGGACAGTGCGCTCTGCTTTGGATTAGTGAGAATGTGAGATTTCTTTTCTGATCTTAGTCTGTTGTACTGTAACAATCAATTTATTGAATATTTCTTTCAGTGCCAGTCAGTTAGACAATCGTTGTTCCGTTTGTCTTGATAAACACTTGATTCATAGTACGAATGATACAGGCATGCTTAGACACCACACTGTGCTGTCCATGATGATTTCTTTATCAATCATGGAGTATGCTAATATGGTCCCAACTACTAGTGTCGGCACAGGAGTTTTCCTTCTCTACTTGGTGCTTTTACTGTCTCGTGTGTTTGGTAACTTGCTCTGCGGTGACTACGAAGAATGAAGCCAAGTCGGTGATGCACTCTGCAGAGGGAGGATTTGTTCATCACAACCAAGGTAATCTGAATTACAGAATGCTACCTTCTGTATTCTACTGCAAGTTTTTTTTTGCCCCACTCTATTTCATAATCTTTATGTAATTGAAAGTTTGGAATCTGTTCTCATTGCAGCTGTGGAACTCAGATCATGGCCATGCGCTTGATGCCTGCAAGGATAGCTTTTTTTTTGAGCCTCCCTGCAAGGATAGCTTGAAGAAGCTGCAACTAGATTATCTCGATCTCTATCTTATTCACTTCCCAGTAGCTACTAGGCATACAGGTAAGTTCCTTGCCCTTTGCACAATATTTACAAAGATTCAATGGGTGCCTCAAAGAAATGTGTATTTCTGTAGGAGTTGGCACAACTTCTAGTGCTCTTGGTGATGATGGCGTGCTATTTCATTGGAAACAACATGGCATGCAATGGAAGAACTTGTTTCCATGGGACTGGTGCGCAGCATTGGAATCAGGTAAACCGAACCAACAATTTTCTCTATTTTGTTAGCACCAGTTTGACATTTGAGATATTTAGTCTTGGCAAGCTTCCCTTTGTATTATGATTCATTACATTGGCAAGCTTCCCTTTTGTACTAGGAATATTGCTGGTGCTGAAAGAGTAGTGTAGTTTCGAAATATCCTGAATTGGAGTATAATAAGTCTTACACTAAAATTTTCTTGCTGCGACTTTTTCCATGCTTGGCGATTTACTTTTCTTGCTGGTGAAGTCACTTTTTTTTACAACAATAATAATACTATCAACCATCACAGCGCATACCCCCTTGGGTGGCTCCACTGCCAACACCGAGTGGTTCGGGTCGGTCTCGTGCCTCGACGACCCTGTCATCAAGGTGGTTGTCACTTCAAATCTCCATTACAACCAGCTCTAGACTGTCAACCATCATCCTTGTTTAACAAACAGGAGTACATTTTGTTTGGATACTTTGCAATATCATCAGTTCTGGTGCCAATGTGATCAGCTAACTTGGCACTGTGGCAGCAATACAATTTGCAGGGCTTGGCTGAGAAGTACGGCAAGACGCCGGTGCTGCTTGTCCTCTGGTGGGGTCTGCAGCGTAACACAGTGGTGATCCCCATGACCTCCAAGGCACAGTAATACATTAGCACGCCACTTTATATACCTTCACTCATTGGGACACGTTTGCTTTCAAAATTTTAATTGATCCTCTTACTTTGTCATATCTCTCCTCCTATGTCAATTTCTTAATTTATCCCCCTTTGTTATCTTTTCACTATTTTTGTACACTATTTCTCCCCCTTTGTTATCAATGACAACAAAGGTTTAATTTTAAATAGGTTGGGATTATCAATGTCAATCAATGGGGTGAGGATCATTTTCTCAAATTTGGTTAAATCTAGAACACTTGCCAAAGATATTTAACTCGGTTTGATCTAAGAACAAGCTTCTTCACACCTTCAAATAAGGGTTATCTTGTACCATGTTGAGTTAAACACTTAGAGCTCATTTTCTAGATCAAACACTAGGTTTACAAGCCCACAAACGTGTCATATGCTACCACTAGATCAAGTCAAGCATAGAAGCAATAGTGGTACCATACAAACATCAAAATCATTTGATTTTCATGAATGAGCCTATTAAATGTGAAAGATGACTAGATGCACTAAACATGTCCTTGGCAAGGATATATGCCATACCAATCAACTTTTACCTTGGATTGCTCGAAGGAGATTTATGTCATATAAATGGGGGGTGCATCAACACATATTTGAGAAATCTAATATGTTCAACTCATTCCTTTGCTTGCAAAATATTTTCTCATCCAATGGCTTGATGAATATATCGGCAAGTTGATCTTCGGTGCTTACACTCTCAATGCAAATGTCTCCTTTTTGTTAGTGATCTCTTATGAAATAATAGCGGACATCAATATGCTTTGTTTTTGCATGTTGAACCGGGTTGTTGGTTAACTTGATTGTACTCTCATTGTCACGTAGAAATGGCACTTTCTTGAACTTGATTCCAAAGTCATTCAAGCTGGCCTTCATCCAAAGTTTTTGTGCACAACAACCACGTGTCATCAGCCTCAAAATGATGAGCATCCGGTCTTAACGGCTAGTCTGCTTCGCGCCACGCGTTAAGTTGCGAACGGACGCACTGCAGTATAGGACCGGATGCACCCTCGCCTGGCGTCCGGTCACTTCCAGTAAAGTTCTAGAGGCGGAAATTTGTGACCGGACGCGTCCGGTGGCTCATGACTGGACCCATGCCTGCGTCCGGTCAACTCAGCCTCTCTCAGTTGCTAGCGTCAGCGTACGTCACTAGGTGACTGGATGCACCCCATAAGTGTCCGGTCCCTCTTTCTCTTTAGCGTCCGGTCAAGGGACCGAGGGTGGCCGTCACTGCGCGCCACTGACCGGACGCGGGATCAGAGTCCGGTCACTGCCCAAGGCAGAGTCCGGTCAATACGAAACTTCTCCTTTTGACCCCTAACTTTACCACCCTTGATCAAATATGCCAACCACCAAGTGTATCACCTTGTGCACGTGTGTTAGCATATTTTCATAAGCATTTTCAAGGGTGTTAGCACTCCACTAGATCTAAATACATATGCAATGAGTTAGAGCATCTACTGGCACTTTGATAACCGCATTTCGATACGAGTTTCACCCCTCTAAATAGTACATCTATCGATCCTAAATGTGATCACACTCGTTAAGTGTCTCGATCACTAAACCGAAAACTCCTATCAAGTTTTACCTTTGTCTTGAGCTTTTTCTTTTTCTCTTTCTTCTTTTCCAAGTCCAAGCATTTGATCATCACCATGGCATCACCATCATCATGATCTTCACGTTGCTTCACCACTTGGAGTAGTGCTATCTATCTCATAATCACTTTGATAAACTAGGTCATCACTTAGGGTTTCATCAATTTACCAAAAACCAAACTAGAGCTTTCAATGGGGCCGCGCCCGCGCCAAGGACGGTGTCGAGCCCACTGAAGCTGGGGCCGCGACCGCATCATGGAAGAGAAGAAGCTACCAGTCGCCGGGGCTGCGCCACCGAGGCCGCGCCTCCGGGGCCGCGCACCAGGGCTAAGCCGCTAGGGCTCCCGCACGCCTGGGCACGCCGGCCTAAGCTCACCTGCTAGGGCACGGCAGCCTGGGCCTCGCCATCCGAAGTGCGGCGGCCAAGCCTCGCCCGCTGGAGGGGAGCTCGCGCCCGCGGCCAGCCATGGAGGAGGGTGGACTGGCGAGATCTAGTGAAGCTAGAGAAGGGGCGCTTGTTGGAGGAGAGCTCGCGTCGCGAGTCCACCCGGTAGAGGAGCGTCGAACCAGCGATGGAGCGCCGCCGCGACGGCCAGAGTGGAGCGGCCATTTGGAGATGCGTCGCTGTGCCCTCGCTTCCTCGTGACACAGATAGGAAAAGAAGCTTGCGACGCGGACGGGAAAAGAAGAAATAAAAACAAACCGGTACCCATCATAACCATGGGTGTGGGTAAATATTTAGGCCAAAAGCAATTAAAAGGTGTCTAGAGGAAAAGTCGCTTTTTGGCAAAAAAGATTAAGGTGTCTTTTGAGCCTTTGCTTGGCTTTTTGGCTTTTGCGTAAAAAAAACAGGTTCAAAAGCCCAACCAAAACAGGCCTTAACTTTAAAGGCATGCTTTGGAATGGAGGAAAAACAAAGAAAAACACATGATTCAAATTCCTATGGAATGGATTCCTTTAGCAACTTTTAGATTGTAGGAAATGCTCATAGGAAATTTTAGGAAACTTTCCTTTCCCTTCAATTCAAAAAGAATACCCGAGGAAAAAAATTCTACTTGGAGCCCATGAAAACAATTCTATGCAGAAGAAACGAGGCACATAATGGACTAATGGGAGCTGGTAGCGCCTAATCAAGGGACTAGAATGGAATAAGTGGTTGATTAAAGAAAGCAATATATTTTTCTCCTAAAATTCCTTTTAACATTCCTGTGTTTTTCCTTTGCCCATACAAACGCATAGACATGCAAAATTCCTATGTGTTTTTATTTCTTTATTTTGCACTTATATTCCTATTCTATTCCTACGTTTTTCCTATTCACGTGCTCCTTCATTCCTCCGTTCCACATGAGGCCTAAGGCTCCTTTGGATTGAAGGAGAAACATAGGAAAACATAGGATTCGAGATCCTAACAATTTGATTACTGTTCACTCCTTTAGATAGCATGAATTGACCGCAGGAGAAACGGAGAAAATCTTCCTATGCCAGCCATTCCAGAGGGAAAACGGAGAAAATCTAACATCCACGTCGACCTCATTTTTTCATTCCCTTGCACTCGTCATTGCCCGGCCACCAGCCGACAGCCGCGCGAGAGCTCGTGTGCCTCATCGCTCTGGGCTGCCGCACCGTGTTTGCCGCTAGAGCTGCTTGCCGCACCATAGGTCGAGCGCCTCATGCCGCGATTGTTAGCTTGCGGCACCACAAAGACCGTGTTTGCCGCTCAAGTCGCCTTGCACACGGGTCATGGAGTAGCGGATACATTCTGTAGTGGCCCACTTGTAAGTGGCTTCTTTATAACTATCTTTGCAATTCTTTCTAATGATGTTAGCACACAAATATGTTGTTGGCTAAAGTAATATATGATAGATGATTTATGTTTCCTAAGTTTTCCATTACTACAAATTTCTTGTGCCCGTCCAAACAACAACCATTCAAAGTTTCCTATGGTTTTCAATCCTCTATTTTTCACATGCAATCCTATTCTATTCCTATATTTTCCTATTCTGTATTTTTCTAATTTTTGCGTTCCAAAGGAGCCCTACACTCATCAACTTTCATGAGCTAAGAGATTGTTATGACAGTGGTCTTTACACTGGTCAAACAATCAAGAAAACCCCATTCTGGAAAAACTTGATAGAATCCTTGCTTCTAAAGAGTGGGAAGATATATTCCCAAACACCATGTGAGAAAACTCCCAAGAGAAATCTCTGATCATAACCCTTTGATACTCTCCTCTGGTCCATGTAGAACTTTGAAACACCTCCAATTCAGATTTGAAAATAGTTGGCTCACCAATCTAGACTTTTTGCCTGCTGTTAGAAAGATATGGGAGAAACCATGTAGAGTTGCTTCTACCCTACATAAGATCCAGCAGAAATTGAAGATGCTGAAATAGTACTTCAAAGGCTGGAGTTTTAATCTACAGGGTGAATTAGGAGAAGAGCTAGTATTAGTGACGAGTTATAAGAAACTGGTGATCTTAGTGATGAACAATGGAGTAAGAAGAGGAAGCTTTTGAGTGAGAACTTCTGTCTCATTGAATAGGAAGAATCATATTGGCATAATCATTGTCATGAACAATGGTTATTAAAAGGTGACAATAACACTAGCTATTTTCATAAAATTGCTAGTGGAAGAAAGAGGAAGAATACTGTTATATCCTTAGAGAAGGATGGAGTCATAATTGAGGGTAATGATAATTTGTTAAAACATGCCACTGAATATTACACTGACCTGTTTGGTCCTAAAAATGATCATGATTTACATATTGAACAGAGTGTGTGGGATGAACTGCCTAAGGTGTCTGAGTTTGAAAATGAGGATTTGTGCAAGCCTTTCTCTGAACTAGAGATCAAAGAGGCATCATTTCAAATGGAAAAAAACAAAGCTGCTGGTCCTGACAAAATTCCCATTAAGTTCTATCAGACCTGCTGGGATATTGTGAAGAGTGATATTATTCAACTTTTTGCTGATTTCATGAAGATAAGGTTAACATTAGTAGGATTAACTATGGGATCATCACCTTGTTGCGCAAAAAGTCTGATGCCTCAACAATACAACAATACAGGCCCATCAGCTTATTGAATTGTCTATACAAACTGATTACTAAAACCCTGACCCTCAGAGTTGAGAAAATTGCTAAAAAAATTGATACATACAAATCAATCTTCCTTCATGAAGGGTAGAAACATCATGAGTGGTAGTATGATTTTGCATGAAGTATTGCATGAAACTAAATGGAAAAACAAGTTTGGCATCATCCTGAAACTTAATTTTGAAAAAGCCTATGACAAGGTCAAATGGACCTTTCTCTTTGAATGTCTTGCTGCTAGAGGATTAGGTGGTGTAGATAGATAGAACAAGATGTTTCTGG